GAGGCACCTGAGGACAGGAACGAATGAACAACAACAAGCTTCTTTGGAAGCTTTTAAGCAGAGGCTGGATGGCAATTTGTCAGGGGTGATTTGAATGCAATATTCCTGCTTCTTGGCAGAATGGGGTTGGACTGGATGGCCCAGGAGGTCTCTTCCAACTCTTTGATTCTATGATTAACAACACTTCTTTCCAACCCTAAGACTGGATAAGGGACACTCAACCTATATTATTATTATTATTATTATTATTATTATTATTATTATTATTATTATTATTACTGACTACTTCCTTTCAACCATAATACTGAAAAAAGGACACTCAACCTGTGTGGTGATGATGATGAACTACTTCCTTCCAATTCTAACTGGATAAAGGAGGCTCAACCTGCCTCTGAGAATGTCAGGAGAGACTGCTTCTAGAACATGACCATATAGCCCGGAAAACTGACAAGAACCCTGTTGTTGTTGTTGTTGTTGTTGTTGATCACTTCCTTCCAAGAACTGATAAGGAAAAAGGAAGAGGGGCCAACCAAGGGCAAGGTGGATGGATGGCATCCTTGAAGTGACTGGATTGACCTTGAAGGAGCTGGGGGGTGGTGACGGCTTGAAGTTGAACATGACCCCCCCCCCCTCCATTAGAGATAGTAACTTATAGTTTTGCTAAGGGCAAGGACACCAGGCTGGATAATAAGGGTTAAGCCTTGGTCAATTTGGTGTGTATCATTTAATCAAGGCTTTATGCCCTATTTTCATATGTTTATAGCAGAAGGTAACCAATTTATTACTGAAAATCATGCCACAAAAGTATTTGACTTTTTCCATCTGAGACACACCTGGGCTCCTGATGGTCCCCCATCTCACAAACAAGGGACTCTCTTTCCCCCTCATGGATATATTTCCCTTTATGGACCTTCCTATGAATGATATGAACTATGGACACTGGGGGAAGGTAGTTGGGTTTACGCTCTGTATTATGATTTCTATATTTTCATCTTTTCTCCTGTATTTCTATATTTCCCTCATGTGTCTGCCTTTACCCTGACCCTTTTACCCCCTTCCCCTCTCCTTGAGGGAAATCTACAAGGAAGTTGCCCTGTCCCTGAAAAAGCAATCAGCAATCATGAAAGGACCCTTGTCTTAGGACATTGCTTGCATGGAAAATAACAAAGGAAATCCTTCCTTGACTTCGGAGTTGGGCCATCAGGAGGATTTTTGCTTGGCAGACTTTTAATCATATAACAATGGCGGGGGGGGGGGGGGGGGGGGGATGACCTTCAGAAAGCCCTTTTTTCCCCAACCCGTTTTTTCTTTCAAATCTCTCTACTAAAGTCTTCCCCTTTCTGCCCTATCTGATCATAAGAGGAAAACCCGGATTAAGTGATCAAAGCTTATCGCAGACCCATCTCAAAGACAATAAAGTTGGCCTCTCTGGCAGGCTGGTTCCGGACTCGAAAACCCCCCAGGACATTAAACTCCATAATCCACTCAAGAATGCATTGTATCCCTTCGTCCGCCTCCCTGCCTTCTGATTCACTGGAGCACCAAAGCGGCAGGAGCCTCCTGATTGGCTCTGGCGCACCGTGGAAGCCCTGTGATTGGCCCAGGCACACGGAAGGCGGCCAAGCCTCCTCCCAGCTGTTAGCATGCCAGCCAATCACCGTCAAGCCGGGCGGGGGGCGGGAATTTTGAAACTCACAACTCTGTATTCTCTATAAAAATGGCATTTATTTCTGTAACCACATGCTTAGCTTGGCGAATGATTGCTGCTTTGCATCCTTTTCAACTGAATTGCTAATAAACCTCGGTGGCACTTTCTTCCACTTTGGTGAGATTCTTTTTGGGAATTTAGGGAAAATAAATTGCTTAAAATTAGGCTTCTCTTTGCTCACCAATGTAGAGATCCCTCTTTGGTGGGGCCGCAGGATCTCTCCTCCTGGGGTAGACCCTTCTAAAGTTCCTATCGACTTCAGGCTGGCAGGGAGCTCTGGCCTGGGCTAGTCCATGAGGTCACGAAGAGTCAGAAACGACTGAACGAATGAACAACAATAAACTATTATATTGTATTACATTATAATATTATAATGTTGAGTATGCATGCCCAGTGTGGAACACATCTCACCACACTAAAACAGTAGATGTGTCTCTTAATGAGACATGCCGCATTATCACGGGGTGTCTGCGCCCTACACCACTGGAGAAATTACACTGCTTAGCCGGTGTTGCACCACCTGACATCCGCCGGGAAGTAGCAGCCAATAGTGAAAGGACCAAGGCAGAGACATCTCCAGCTCATCCCCTGTTTGGGTATCAGCCAGCACGTCAACAACTTAAATCTAGAAATAGTTTTCTAAGATCTACAGAGACACTCGCTGGAACACCTCAGCAAGCAAGAGTACAAGAGTGGCAGGCTCAAACCCAGAACCTCAACCAATGGCTGATACCAAATGAGAGACTCCCCCCTGGGCACACAGAAGACTGGGCGACGTGGAAGGTGCTGAACAGACTGCGCTCTGGCACCACGAGATGCAGAGCCAACCTTCAAGAAATGGGGCTACAAAGTGGAATCCACGACATGCGAGTGTGGAGAAGAGCAAACCACTGACCACCTGCTGCAATGCAACCTGAGCCCTGCCACATGCACAATGGAGGACCTTCTTGCGGCAACACCAGAGGCACTCCAAGTGGCCAGAAATTGGTCAAAGGACATTTAATCAACTACCAAGCTTGCAATTTTTGTGTTTTGTCTGTTTGTTTGTTTTTGTTCTGTTAAAACTGTAATACAATTATCTGGTTGCCCCTGACACGATAAATAAAAATAAATAAATCCTTAAGCCCAGCAGGGATATTCTCATGAGAAACTGCCCTTGGCACTGGGGCCTCTCTGTCATTGTCTGCCTGAAAATCATTGACCAAACCATCTCCATTTTGTACCTCAGCCTCAGCACCATCATTTCCATCAAGAGCATCATGATCCTGAGCATCATGAAACACAAACACAGGCTGAGTCCCAACACAAAGATGAAGTACACATAATGAGAAGACAGGAAAGATTAGAGAAGATAATGATGCTGGGGAAAATGGAAGGAAAAAGAAAGAGAGGCCGACCGAGGGCAAGGGGGATGGATGGTCTCCTTGAAGTGACTGGATTGACCTTGAAGGAGCTGGGGTGGTGACGGCTGGCAGGGAGCTCTGGCCTGGGATGGTCCAGGAGGGCACCAAGAGTCATACAATCATAGAATCCTAGAGTTGGAAGAGACCTGGTGGGCTATCATCCAGTCCAACCCTATTCTGCCAAGAAGCAGAAAAATTACATTCAAATCACCCCCGACAGAGGGCTATCAGCCTCTGTTTAAAAACCCCCAAAGAAGGAGACTCCACCACAGTCTGAAGCAGAGAGTTCCACTGCTGATCAGCTCTCACAGTCAGGAAGCTCTTCCTCATGTTCAGGAGGAATATCCTTCCTTTCCCGTAGTTTGAAGCCATTGTTCCATTGCATCCTAGTCTCCAGGGCAGCAGAAAGGAAGCTTGCTCCCCACTTCCTATCACTTCCTTTCACATATTTATACATGTCGGAAGCGACTGAACAAACAAACAGCAACAAAAATGCCAATGCTGCTTGAAAGTGTCCCTGCAAGGCAGAGGACGAGGACGGAAAGAGGAGCTCCTTGGGGAGAAGGGGTGTGAGCTGCTTCTTCCTATGGCAGGAATCCCATACAAGAGGCCTGCTTTCCTTTCTGCCTTCCTTCCTTCTCGCCCCAAAAGTGGTTTGTTGTTGTTGTTCATTCGTTCAGTCGTCTCCAACTCTTCGTGACCTCATGGACCAGCCCACGCCAGAGCTCCCTGTCGCCGTCACCACCCCCAGCTCCTTCAAGGTCAGTCCAGTCACTTCAAGGATGCCATCCATCCATCTTGCCCTTGGTCGGCCCCTCTTCCTTTTTCCTTCCACTTTCCCCAGCATCATTCCCTTCTCTAGGCTTTGCTGTCTCCTCATGATGTGGCCAAAGGACTTCCACTTTGTCTCTAGTCTCCTTCCCTCCAGTGAGCTTTAGTCGGGCTTTATTTCCTGGAGGATGGACTGGTTGGATCTTCTCGCAGTCCAAGGCACTCTCAGCACTTTCCTCCAACACCACAGCTCAAAAGCATCGATCTTCCTTCGCTCAGCCTTCCCGAAGGTCCAGCTCTCACATCCGTAGGTGACTACAGGGAATGCCATGGCTTTGACTAGGCAATGGATCTTGGTTGCCAGTCTGATGTCTCTACTCTTTACTATTTTATCGAGACTGGACATTGCTCTCCTCCCAAGAAGGAAGCGTCTTCTGATTTCCTGGCCACAGTCTGCATCTGCAGTCATCTTTGCACCTAGAAATACAAAGTCTGTCACGGCCTCCACATTTTCTCCCTCTATTTCCCAGTTGTCAGTCATTCTTGTTGCCATAATCTTGGTTTTTTTGACGTTTAGCTGCAACCCGGCTTTTGCGCTTTCTTCTTTCACCTTGATTAGAAGGCTCCTCAGCTCCTCCTCGCTTTCGGCCATCAGAGTGGTGTCATCTGCATATCTGAGGTTGTTCATGTTTCTTCCAGCCATTTTCACCCCAGCCTTGCATTCATCCAGCCCTGTTGCTCCTTGGTCCTTGTCCAGATTCCTCAGGAGAGAGGGAAGGGAGCTTGGGATGCCCATCCCACCAAGAACTTGCCACCATTTATGATGATCCACACAGTCAAAGGCTTTAGAAGAGTCAATGAAGCAGAAGTAGATGTTTTTCTGAAACTCCCTTCTATTTCTAAGTGGGGAAAGGGTGAAGAGGACAAGAGTCCATTCACAGCAGGTCGGCCTTGGCAACCGGTGACGTCATAAGGCGGCTTTGTTTTCTGATTGGTCGCCAGGTGTGACTGACACGCAGGGAAAGAGCGACTGCTTATGGCGCTTTCTGGGAATCGCAGTTTGCGCTGATTGGTCCTGACGCTAGCAAGGGGGCGGGGAAAGAGCGGCGGAAGTGGCGTCAGGGAGAGGGCGGAGTCAAGAGGCCGCGCAAGGTTTTCGCCGGTCAGAAGCCGGTTGGGCGCCTGAGGGGACGGTTGCAGAGAGTGGAGCTCTTCAGAAAGGTGAGCTAAGGGCGCATGCGCGGATCCCCCATTAGCAAAAACTATTGACAGATTGATTCCCCCACTGCCCTGAAGTTCAGGCCTGTGGGAGGACTACAAGTCGCAGAATCCCCACCTGTACATTATATTCAGGGCCTGGAGAAGTTCAAAGTTGTGGGAGGACTACAAATCCCAGTTTCCTGGACCTCTACCACCAGATTCCCCCACTGCCCTGAAGTTCAGGCCTTTGGGAGGACTACAAGTCCCAGAATCCCCACCTGTACATTATATTCAGGGCCTGGAGAAGTTCAAAGTTGTGGGAGGACTACAAATCCCAGTTTCCTGGACCTCTACCACCAGATTCCCCCACTGCCCTGAAGTTCAGGCCTTTGGGAGGACTACAAGTCCCAGAATCCCCACCTGTACATTATATTCAGGGCCTGGAGAAGTTCAAAGTTGTGGGAGGACTACAAATCCCAGTTTCCTGGACCTCTACCACCAGATTCCCCCACTGCCCTGAAGTTCAGGCCTTTGGGAGGACTACAAGTCCCAGAATCCCCACCTGTACATTATATTCAGGGCCTGGAGAAGCTCAGAGCTGTGAGAGGACTACAAATCCCAGTTTCCTGGACCTCTACTACCAGAATCCCCCACTGCCCGGAAGTTCAGACCTCTGGAAGGACTACAAGTCCCAGAATCCCCACCTGTATTATATTCAAGTATATTCCTAGACCTCTACCACCACCAGAATCCCCCAGTACCCTGAAGTTCAGGCCTTTGTGAGGACTATACGTCCCAGAATCCCCACCTGTATTATATTCAGGGCCTGGCAAGGTTAGTTTCCTAGACCTCTACCACCAGAATCCCCCACTGCCCTGAAGTTCAGACCTCTGGGAGGACTACAAGTCCCAGAATCCCCACCTGTATATTATATTCAGGGCCTGGGGCAGTTCAGACCTGTAGGAGCACTACAAATCCCAGTTTCCTGGACCTCTACCACCAGAATCCCCCACTGCCCTGAGTTCAGGCCTGTGGGAGGACTACAAGTCCCAGAATCCCCCAGTTGCACTTGACTGCAGCTTCCATCATCCCTGGCTTGGGCCAGGGTATTAATAATCATAATACTCTTTGGTGGCTAGGATGTCTTGCAGTTGTAAACCATCTTCCTTTCTCTCAAGATCAAGCCGTTTTTAAATGGCGGCGTTATAATGAGAGTATGTATGGCCCAAAAAAGTAACTTTTCCACGAGAACCACTACACTACAGTAAAGGAAATGCCACCTGTACATTAGGAAGAACTTCGTAATTGTGAGAGTTGTTCAGTAATGGAACTCTCTGCCTCGGCGTGTGGTGGAGGCTCCTTCTTTGGAGGCTTTTAAGCGGAATCTGGATGGCCATCTGTCAGGAGTGGTTTGAATGTGATTTTACTGTTTCTTGGCAGAATGGGGTTGGACTGGATGGTCCACAAGTCTCTTCCAACTCTGGGATTCTATGATTTGGTGCAGTTCAAAGTCAAATTTCTCTTCTATGCTCTGCAATTGAGGTTTGTTGCGTTACTGGATTGTTGTGAGTTTTCCGGGCTGTCTGGCCGTGTTCCAGAAGCATTCTCTCCTGACGTTTCACCCACATCTATGGCAGAGGTTGGAAACTAGGCAAGTGAGGTTGATATATCTGTAGAATGTCCAGAATGGAAGAAAGAACTTGTGTCTGTTTGAGGCAGACAAGTGTGAATGTTGCAAATGGCCGCCTTGATTAGCATTGAATGGCCTTGCACCTTCAAAGCCTGGCTGGTTGCTGCCTGGGGGAAATCCAGGCAGGCTCTGAAGCTGCATTGGGGCCATAATATGATGTCGTTTCGCCCACATCTATGCTTTCTCCCAACCTGGACATCATTCCACAGGTATATATATATATAAACTCCACTTGCCTAGTTTCCAACACACCTCCCAACCTCTGAGGATGCCTGCCATACATGTGGGCGAAACGTCAGGAGAGAATGCTTCTGGAACGTGGCCAGATAGCCCAGAAAACTCACGGCAGCCCAGTAATTCCAGCCATGAAAGCCTTTGACAACTTTTTGTTGTGTTATCGCAGATGTGAGCCAACTTGCACCCTCTGGTGTTTTGGACTACAACTCCCACAGGAATTGTGGGAGTTGTAGTCCAAAACACCCAGAGGGTTCAAGTTGGCTCCATGCTTGCCACTGAAACTGGGTTTATATCTGAATGAATGTGTTGCCTGCCAAAGATTCCAACCTGAGAAACATTTGCCACTTGGGAGATGTAGTTGCTGGGATTTATAGTTCACTTACAATCAAAGAACATTCTGAACTCCACCAATGATGGAATTGAACCAAACTTGGCACAGAGCTCCCATGACCAACAGAAAATACTAGAAGGTATTGACATTTGGGAGTTGCAGTTGCTGGGATTTATAGTTTACCTGCCATCAAAGAGCATTCTGAACTCCACCAACGATGGAACTGAACCAAACTTGGCACACAGAACTCCCAAGACCAACAGAAAATACTGACGTTTCACCCACATGTATGGCAGGCATCCTCAGAGGTTTTGTGAGCATTGACCTTGAGTTTGGGAGTTGTAGTTCACCTACATCCAGAGAGCACTGTGGACTCAGACAATGATATATCTGGACCAAACTTGGCATAAATACTCAATATACCCAAATGTGAACACTGGTGGACTTTGGGGAAATAGACCTTGACATTTGGGAGTTGTAGTTGCTGGGATTTATAGTTCACCTGCACTCAAAGAGCATTCTGGACTCCACCAACGATGGAATTGAACCAAACTTGGCACACAGAACTCCCACGACCAGCAGAAAATACTGGTGGAGTTTGGGGAAAATGCAGCACGACATTTGGGAGTTTTAGTTGCTGGGATTTATAGTTCACCTGCAATCAAAGAGCATTCTGGACTCCACCGACGATGGAATTGAACCAAATTTGTCACACACAACTCCCACGACCAGCAGAAAATACTGGTGGAATTTGGGGAAAATGCAGTGCGACATTTTGGAGTTTTAGTTGCTGGGATGTATAGTTTACCTACAATCAGAGAGTATTCTGAACTCACCCCACAGTGGATCAGCACCAAACTTGGCACACTACCTATATGGCCAACATTGCATACTGGTAGGGTTGTGGGGGAGCTGATTTTGAATTCTGGAAGTTGTAGTTCACCAAAGGGGCACCTAAGACCATCAGAAATATGTGGTTTCTGATGGTCTTTGGCAACCCATCTGTGACCTTCCCCATGGGTCTTGACGCCCAGGTTGAGAAACATTGACATAGAAGGGAACCCCCCCCCCCCCCCCCCAGGCTACTACTATACAATGGATAGTCCAGGGATCTCAACAGGAAAAAGCGTGGGGAAGAGATCAAGTGAAGGGCGGTGGGGGAGTTAAGGTCATTGGGACAGTATGTGCCAACATACTGTGGTTATCTGCCCACGTGGGTTTGGAGCAGCGGGGAGGGTCCACTGGGGTTGGTCTTGCGTTTGCCGGCAAGCGAGGAGTGATGCAACGGGAGGCTCACGCACATCCGGAGCAGGAGGAAGGCATTGCAGAAGTGCTGGTGGAGATGAGCAACAGGGACCGGAGGAGACGTAATTGGGGAAAACCCATGCTTTGCAACAGTCCCCAAAGCCAGTGTTGTCAGACTTCCTTGTCTGTGGTTTCCTGCATTCCAGAGAGGGTGGAGCGGATGGCCCTTGGGGTCTCTTCCAACGCCATATCTCTCTCTCTCTCGTAGATAATGTGCAGCCTGTTCTCATGCCTGCAAGCATTCTCTATTCAAAACATAGTGTGTCTGCATCATTCTGAGTCCCTCCATGTGACCATGGAGGTGTCTACGGACAATGCCGGCACTTTCTTAGAAATGGAGGTCCTTCCTTCATCTTCCTTTACAAGTCTAAGGACTCTTCCACACTGCCATACAAAATCCAGATTATCTGCTTTGAACTAGATTATCTGTTTTGCTAATCTGGATTATATGACAGGGTAGACTCTTTCTGTTTCCTGTCTACAGTTTCCATTTTTGATGGGTGATTGAGCCAAAGGGAAGGAAAGCGTCAACCACTTTTAAGGTCATATAAAACACCTGTAGCCATTAAGTTTTGTTTTCTTAAAGTTCTACTCTAACCCTGCTTTTGCCCTTTCTTCCTGGGCTATTTATTATTTATTTATTTATTTGGGGTTCTTCTACCCCGCCCTTCTCACCCCGAAGGGGACTCAGGGCGGCTTACAAAAGCAAGGCACAATTTGATGCCTGCATCATAAAAACAATCAAACACAAAATTACATCAATACACAGTTAACACCAAATATACATTATAACCATAAAATCAATAAAATCAATAAAACCAAATACAAACCCAATTTCTCCTCTTACATGGTCAGCGTTTGCTACTCATAGATCTAGTTTTACGTTCCACTTCATCAATCCTGCTGGTCTTACTCGCCTGGTTGTCTGATTTAATTGCCGGAGTGCCCAAAGGCCTGGTCCCATAACCAAGTCTTCACCCTCCTCCTAAAGGCGAGGAGGGATGATGATGCCCTGATTTCCCCCGGGAGTGAGTTCCACAGGTGAGGGGCCACCACTGAGAAAGCCCTGCTCCTCGTCCCCACCAGCCTCACTTGTGACAGTGGTGGGGTCGATAGCAGGGCCCCTCCAGATGATCTCAGACTCCGAGGTGGGACGTAGAGGGAGATACGTTCGGACAGATACACTGGACCGGAACTGTACAGGGTTTTGTAGGTCAAAACCAGCACCTTGAATTGTGCTCGGAACTGAACTGGCAGCCAGTGGAGCTGGCACAGCAGGGGGGTGGTATGCTCCCTGTATGTCGCTCCGGTGAGCAATCTGGCTGCCGCTCGCTGGACTAGTTGAAGTTTCCGAACAGTCTTCAAGGGCAACCCCACGTAGAGCGCATTGCAGTAGTCTATTCGGGATGTAACAAGAATCTGCTAAACGCGAACCACAAAGTAGGGAGGGAACACTGTATATTGGCTGAAACTGCCTTGTGTGGCTAAAACGTTGGGAAAGTGGCAAATATCTGACCCTGGGAGACTCCTTTGTGCCTAATCAGTCCAAACGCTACAGTTTCTGCCTTGTGGCCTTGTCCTGCTTCGGTTTCTCTGTGTCCCTTTGGAAAAAAAAGTCCCTTCCTGACCTTCAGGACAGGTTGAAGGTCGTTCCCTTTTGTTCCCAGCCAGGCATGTTCGCTCTCTTTGCCCAGAGTGTTTGATTTCTCCCTTTCTTCCACCCGATCCAACTTGAGGCCTCCCTCTTGCAAAGCCCCGGTTCCCCCGCCTTTTTGGACTCTGTCCAGAAGGGCCGGCAGGCTGGCTGTTCTGCTTCAAACGCTTTACTCTGCAGGAATGCAAACTCACAAAAACTTGGCAAAGGAGGGCGTCCTCTTTGTTTCTGCCCCACTGGGGGAATCCCACTGGCTTGGCTTGCCTGCCCATGAGTCCTTGACCTTCCCTTGCAAGTAAAGGTGCTTCAGACCAAACCATACACCACGTATGGGCCAATTTGGGCCCTCCAGGTGTTTTGGACTTCAACTCCCACCATTCCTCACAGCCTCAGGCCCCTTCCTTTTCCCCCTCAGCCGCTTAAGCGGCTGAGGGGGAAAAGGAAGGGGCCTGAGGCTGTGAGGAATGGTGGGAGTTGAAGTCCAAAACACCCGGAGGGCAGAAGTTTCCCCATGCCTGGGCTAGAGAGAGCTCTCAAGCAGCATAACAAACAGTCTAAGATATTTTTAAGGTCAGGTCTGCTTTGATTAACTTCCTTGCTCTCTCTCAAATTTTGCTGTGTCCAGGTGGGCATTACACAGGTATGTAAACCTCCAAACAGGAAGAAATCAGCTGCATTAAAATCACTACTGACCGAAAGGTCATGAGTTTGAAGCCAGCCCGGGTTGGAGTAAGCTCCCGACCATTTGTCTAGCTAGCTGTCGACCTTTGCAGTAAATAAAGAGGAACACGCAAACCACAGTGGAATTCCAGACAGGAGACAATCAGAGCCAGCTAACACCTCTCAACAAAGGATTCCACCAGGCAGGCTTTGAAGCTGCCTGGTGGAACATTCAAAGAGCAACATTCAAAAGTCAGGGGAATTCTAGATGGAAACAAATCAGGGCCCGCTAATACATTCCAACGAAAGATTCCCCCAGGCAGGCTTTGAAGCTGCAAGGCCATTCAGTGCTAATCAAGGTGACCTCTCTGATGCCCCTCCCGACCCCCCAGGTTGAGAAACACTGCATTAAAGTATCTCCTAAATTATTTATTTACATTCTTTATATTCTGCCCTTCTCACCCCGAAGGTGACTCAGGGCGGATCACAACGCATATATACATGGCGAACATTCAATGCTACAGACACACAACATATATAGCAGTGTTTCTCAACCTGGGGGTCAGGACTCCTGGAGGGGTCACCGGGGGGCATCAAAGGGGTCACCAAAGACCATCAGAAAACATAGTATTTTCTGTTGGTCATGGGGATTCTATGTGGAAAGTTTGGCCCAATTCTATCATTGGTGCTCTTTGCTTGTAGGTGAACTATAAATCCCAGCAACTACAACTCCCAAATGTCAACGTCTATTTTCCCCAAACTCCACCAGTGTTCATATTTCAGCATATTGCGTTTGGGCCTGTCTAGTTTGGATCTATCATTCCTGTCAAGTTTGAGCCAGATCTATCATGGTTTGAGTCTACAGTGCTCTCTGGATGTAGGTGAACTACAACTCCCAAACTCAATGTCCACCAAACCCTTTTCTGTTGGCCACGGGAGTTCTGTGTGCCAAGTTTGGTTTGATTCTATTGTTGGTGGAGTTCAGAATGCTCTTTGATTGTAGGTGAACTATAAATCCCAGCAATTGCAACTCCCAAATGTCAAGGTCTATTTTCCGCAAACCACCAGTGTTCACATTTTGGCATATTGAGTATTGTGACAAGTTTGGTTCAGTTCCATCATTGTTTGAGTCCACAGTGCTCTCTGGATGTAGGTGAACTACAACTCCAAAACTCCAGGTCAATGCGCATCAAACCCTTCCAGCATTTTCTGTTGTTCATGGGGGTCCTGCGTGCCAAGTTTGGTTCAGTTCCATCATTGGTAGAGTTCAGAATGCTCTTTGATTGCAGGTGAACTATAAATCCCAGCAACTACAACTCCCAAATGACAAAATCAATCCCTGCCCAACCCCACCAGCATTCAAATTTGAGTGTATTGGGTATTTGTGCCACATTTGGTCCAGTAAATGAAAACACATCCTTCATATGAGATATTTAAATTACCTTTCACAACAGTAGCAAAATTACAGTTATGAAGGAGTATTTATTTTTTTATTTATTTATTTAATACACTTGTATACCGCTAATATCTCAGCCTGGATCGGCGACTCATCGCGGTTTACAGCAATTAAAAAACAGTCTCCAATTTAAAAACATATACACATACAGTACAGATTATTGGGCCACCAATAATAATCCCATGTATCTCGAATTAAAATCATAATCCAGAATTCGTTGTCCATATTTTCCTGTCCTTAGTCACCAAAATTCGATTGCCACAGATTAGCCGAATGCTTGTTTAAACAACCATGTTTTCAATCTCTTCCTAAACACCATCAGCGAAGAGGCTGATCGTACCTCTATAGGGAGGGTGTTCCAAAGCCGGGGGGCCACCACAGAGAAGGCCCTGTCTCTCGTTCCCGCCAGCCACACTTCTGAAGCTGGAGGGATAGAGAGAAGGGACTCTCCAGAAGATCTTAGGGTCCTGGTGGGCTGATAGGCTGAGATACGTTCGGATAGATAAGTTGGGCCAGAACCGTTTAGGGCTTTAAAGGCCAACGCCAGCACTTTGAATTGAGCCCGGTAGCATATCGGCAGCCAGTGGAGCTGGTTCAGCAGAGGAGTTGTATGCTCCCTGCGCCCCGCTCCTGTTAGAATCATGGCTGCCGCCCGTTGGACTAGTTGGAGCTTCCGGACTGTCTTCAAAGGCAACCCCACGTAGAGAGCGTTGCAGTAATCAAGGCGGGATGTAACCAGAGCATGGACTACCGTGGCTAAGTCAGACTTCCCAAGGTACGGTCGCAGTTGGCGCACAAGTTTTAACTGTGCGAAAGCTCCCCTGGTCACCGCCGAAACCTGGGGTTCCAGGCTCAGCGATGAGTAACGAAAGTAATTTTATGGTTTGGGGTCACCACAGCATGAGGAACTGTATTAAGGGGTCGCAGCATTAGGAAGGCTGAGAACCACTGCTTTAATGCTTTACGTTCATGTTGTCTGTGTGTTGGAGATTGCAAAGAGCTTTTGTTTCACTGAGGCCTGGTATCAGAGGAAATAAATCCTGCGTGTGTTTTTCCTTCTTTCCTTGCAGTTGACATGGCATCCGATTCGCAGAACCCCCTGTCCGGCTATCAGCCAGACGAAACCGAAGGCTCCAAGCTGATGAGAAAATCCCGGGAGTCTCCATTCGTCCCGGTTGGTAAGTTGACCTTGATCATAAATTTAGGAGCTTTGGCCTACTTGGAGCACCTGACAAAACACGCCCTTGTTCTAGGCCTTAAGCCAGGGGCGTGAATACAATAAAGCAGGAAACGGTTCTGAAATATTGCTTCCTCATTGTGAGCCGCCCTGGGTGTCAATGAAACGCTGGGATTGCTGCCTCTACCCTGCTTTGTCCCTACATTTAAGAGAGCTCTGCGAGTGCAGCATTTTTCTGAATGAAGCAGAGAGAAAACCAAAGTGCTCTTCCAGCAGTCACCGGCCAATCCCTTTCCAATGCCAGAGATACGTCTTAATGGTGTAACATTAGAAAATGTGGACCACTTCCGCTCCCTTAGCAGCCACCTCTCCACCAAAGTCAACATCGATACCGAAATACAACACCGTCTGAGCTCCTCTCAACCCTGTTATATGACTGTGAGACATGGACTATCTACAGCTGTCAACACTGACACTGGAATACAATACCGCCTGAGCTCTGCGAGTGCAGCATTTTTCTGAATGAAATACAGAATGTTTGAGGACCAGGACATCCGTAGGGATAGCAAGGTGCTTGTGTATAAAGCTATTGTCCTCCCAGCCCTGCTATATGCCTGCAAAACGTGGACTGTCTACAGACATCAACACTGAGACTGAAATACAACACAGCCTGAGCTCTGCGAGTGCAGCATTCTTCCAAATGAAGTACAGTGTTTGAGGACCGGGACATCCGTAGGGATACCAAGGTGCTTGTTTATAAAGCCATTGTCCTCCCAGCCCTGCTATATGCCTGCAAGACGTGGACTGTCTACAGATGTCAACACTGAGACTGAAATACAACATCGCCTGAGCTCTGTGAGTGCAGCATTCTTCCGAATGAAATACAGAGTGTTTGAGGACCAGGACATCCGTAGGGATACCAAGATGCTTGTTTATAAAGCCATTGTTCTTCCAAACCTGCTGTATGCCTGCGAAACGTGGACTGTCTACAGACGTCACATGCAACTCCTGGAACGATTCAATCAGTGCTGCCTCCAGAAAATCCTGCAAATCTCTTGGGAAGACAAGCGGACAAATGTCAGCGTGCTGGAAGAAGCAAAGACCACCAGCATTGAAGCGATGGTCCTCTGCTATCAACCCCACTGGACTGACCACGTTGTCCAAATGCCCGACCACCGTTGCTCTACTCCAAACTCAAGAACGGAAAATTGAATGTTGGAAGGCAGGAAAAGAAATTGGAAGACGGGCTCAAAGCTAACCTTAAAAACTCTGGCATAGACACTGAGAACTGGAAAGCCCTGGCCTGTGAGCACTCCAGCTGGAGGTCAGCTGTGACTGGCAATGCTGCAGAATTTGAAGAGGCACGAATGGAGGGCGAAAGAGAGAAACGTGCCAGGAGGGAGGCGCGTCAAACCAACGCTGATCGAGACCAGCTTCCACCTGGAAACCGATGCCCTCACTGCAGGAGATGATGCAGGTCAAGAATAGGGCTCCACAGCCACGTACGGACCCACCCCCAGGACACCGATCTTGGAAGATAATCCTATTCAGACAATGAGGGATCGCCTAAGTGAAGTGAAAGTGAATTGTTGCTCTTTTCTTTTTACGAGCAAGGGATGTCAGGTTGATGCCACAATCCTGTTTCCTCTTCCAGGCATTGCAGGGTTTGCCGCGGTCGTGGCCTACGGGCTCTACAAGCTGAAGCACCGAGGGGACACCAAGATGTCCGTCCACCTGATCCACATGCGAGTGGCGGCGCAGGGCTTCGTCGTTGGCGCCATGACGTGTGGTAGGTACCAAGAGATCAGGGTTCAGGCATGGGCAAACCTGGGACCTCCCCTTATGTCAGTGTTTCTCGACCTTCCTAATGCCGCGACCCCTTAATACACTTCCTTATGTTGTGACCCCCAACCATAGCATTATTTTTGTTGCTATCTCATAACTCTCATTTTGCTCCTGTTACGAATCATCATGTAAATTATCTGAAATGCAGGATGTATTTTCATTCACTGGACCAAATTTGGCGCAAATCCCTAATTCACCCATGTTTGAATACGGGTTGGGTTGCGGTGGGGATTGATTTTATCATTTGGGAGTTGTAGTTGCTGGGATTTATAGCTCACCTGCAATCAAAGAGCATTCTGAACTCCACCAACGATGGAATTGAACCAAACTTGGCACGCAGAACTCCTGCGACCAACATAAAATACTGGAAGGTTTTTGGTGGGCATTGACCTTGCGTTTGGGAGTTTAGGGAAAATAGACCTTGACATTTGGGAGTTGCAGTTGCTGGGATTTGTAGTTCACCTGCAATCAAAGAGCATTCTGAACTCCACCAATGATGGAATTGAACCAAACAGAAAATACTGGAAGGGTTTAGTGGGCATTGACCTTGAGTGTTGGAGTTGTAGTTCACCTAAATCCACAGAGCACTGTGGACTCAAACAATGATGGATCTGGACCAAATTGGCACAAATACTCAATATGCCCAACTGTGAACACTGCTGGAGTTTGGGGAAAATAGAATCGTGACATTTGGGAGTTGTAGTTGCTGGGATTTATAGTTCACCTGCAATCAAAGAGCATTCTGAACTCCACCAACGATGGAATTGAACCAAACTTGGCACGCAGAACTCCTGCGACCAACATAAAATACTGGAAGGTTTTTGGTGGGCATTGACCTTGCGTTTGGGAGTTTAGGGAAAATAGACCTTGACATTTGGGAGTTGCAGTTGCTGGGATTTGTAGTTCACCTGCAATCAAAGAGCATTCTGAACTCCACCAATGATGGAATTGAACCAAACAGAAAATACTGGAAGGGTTTAGTGGGCATTGACCTTGAGTGTTGGAGTTGTAGTTCACCTACATCCACAAAGCACTGTGGACTCAAATAATGATGGATCTGGACCAACCTTGGCACAGATACTCAATATGCTCAAATATAGACACATATGGAATTTGGGGAAATAGACCTTGACATTTGGGAGTTGTAGTTGCTGGGATTTATAGATCACCTGCAATCAAAGAGCATTCTGAACTCCACCAACAATGGAATTGAACCTAACTTGGCACACAGAACTCCCATGACCAACAGAAAATACTGGAAGGGTTTGGTGGGCATTGAGTTTGGGAGTTGTAGTTCACCTACATCCAGAGAGCGCTGTAGACTCAAACAATTATGGATCTGGATCAATATGCCCAAATGTGAACACTGGTGGAATTTGGGGGAAATAGACGTTGACATTTGGGAGTTGTAGTTGCTGGGATTTATAGTTCACCTACATCAAAGAGCATTCTGAACCCCACCAGTGATAGAATTGGGCCAAACTTTCCACACAGAACCCCCATGATGGACAGAAAATGCTGTATTTTCAGGTGGTCTTTGGCGACCCCTCTTGACACCACCTCACGACACCCCTCCCCCATCATAGAATTAAGGAATCAAAGAGTTGGAAGAGGCCTCCTGGGCCATCATCCAGTCCAACCCCATTCTGCCAAGAAGCAGGAATATTGCATTCAAATCACCCCTGACAGATGGCCATCCAGCCTCTGTTTAAAAGCTTCCAAAGAAGGAGCCTCCACCACACTCCGGGGCAGAGTTCCACTGCTGAACGGCTCTCACAGTCAGGAAGTTCTTCCTCATGTTCAGATGGAATCTCCTCTCTTGTAGTTTGACGCCATTGTTCCATTGCGTCCTAGTCTCCAGGGAAGCAGAAAACAAGCTTGCTCCCTCCTCCCTGTGGCTTCCTCTCACATATTTATACATGGCTATCATATCTCCTCTCAGCCTTCTCTTCTTCAGGCTAAACATGCCCAGCTCCTTAAGCCGCTCCTCATAGGGCTTGTTCTCCAGACCCTTGATCATTTTAATCGCCCTCCTCTGGACACATTCCAGCTTAGAGTCAATATCTCTCTTGAATTGTGGTGCCCAGAATTGGACACAATATTCCAGGTGTGGTCTAACCAAAGCGGAATAGAGCATGGGGAGCAGGACTTCCCTAGATCTAGGACTAGGCTCCTCTTGATGCAGGCCAAAATCCCATTGGCTTTTTTTGCCGCCACATCACATTGTTGGCTCATGTTTAACTTGTTGTCCACGAGGACTCCAAGATCTTTTTCACACGTACTGCTCTTGAGCCAGGCGTCCCGAGAGCAGTACGTGTGAAAAAGATCTTGGGAGTCCTAACCCCCAGGTTGAGAAACGCTGACCTACTAGCTTTTACTAGTTACCATCTTTTCAGGAAATGCATGTCTCTCCTTGACGTTGACGTGGAAAACAAAACCCAGCTCTGCATGCTGAACTTGTGTTCTTCTTGTGTTGCAGGTGTGCTGTACTCCATGTACCGGGAATACTGGGCCAAGCCCAAGCCCTAGGAGGGTCTCCGTGGAAGCCCGCCGGTGCCGACGTTCTTATGTACTCTAGATTTAGGCCTCACACGGAAGCGGTGCTGCAATGAATACTTGGTACATCTCACGCATGGTCTCCACCCGTGTGCTGCCAGTGTTACCCTAGATTATTATTTCTCTCTCGGTCTTGAGGAAGGCCGCCAATTGATGTTTTAACGATCAAAACTCCTTTTTCACTGTACGGACGTGGCACGGGGCCGTTCGGTGGCGTTGAGGCACACAGACTCCACGCTCACGGGACTTGTGGTTGAGATGCGGGAAATTGGGAGTGAGGGAGACAGCCTTTCCGCCACTCTCGGTTCCTTCAAATTCACATAGAACAAATACTCTGGAATATTTAATATTTGAGAGATAAGCCTTAAATAGAGCGGATTAAACTATATTTTAAAGTCTTTTATTTATTAAATATGGAAGATTTATAACTTATACGACTGGGATTTGCATTGCAGATTGCACAGTTCTTTTGGGGGGCATTTATAGCAAAGGGCTGATGTGTGCTGTGCTTCTTTTTCAAAGGGTGCTGGTGGCCGTAGAACCTCTGTCCCTTGGGATGGGAATATTTGACCCTCCAGATAGCCAGCGGTCATTTCTGTGAGCTTCAGGAGGCATCCTCGATGGTACTTACTAGGCCTGGTCAATCCATGGTTCTAAATGGTTCTAAAGTACTTACAAATGGTTCTAAAGTACTTTTCACCACCAGAACTTAAATTTTGAGAGTTTTATTAGAGTTCTGAAATTTTCACCACCAGAACTTAAATTTTGAGAGTTTTGTTAGAGTTCTGAAATTTTCACCACCAAAACTTAAAGTTCTGGTGGTGAAAATTTCCGAACTCTAACAAAACTCAAAATTTAAGTTCTGGTAGTGAAAAAACTTTAGAACCATTTGTAAGTACTTTCGAACCATACTAGAAGGGTTTGGTGGGCATTGACTTAAAGTTCTGGTGGTGAAAATTTCAGAACTCTAACAAAACTCTCAAAATTTAAGTTCTGGTGGTGAAAAGTACTTTAGAACCACAGTAAAAGGGTTTGGTGGGCATTGACTTAACGTTCTGGTGGTGAAAATTTCAGAACTCTAACAAAACTCTCAAAATTTAAGTTCTGGTGGTGAAAAGTACTTTAGAACCACAGTAAAAGGGTTTGGTGGGCATTGACTTAACGTTCTGGTGGTGAAAATTTCAGAACTCTAACAAAACTCTCAAAATTTAAGTTCTGGTGGTGAAAAGTACTTTAGAACCACAGTAAAAGGGTTTGGTGGGCATTGACTTAACGTTCTGGTGGTGAAAATTTCAGAACTCTAACAAAACTCTCAAAATTTAAGTTCTGGTGGTGAAAAATACTTTAGAACCATTTGTAACTACTTTAGAACCATACTAGAAGGGTTTGGTGGGCATTGACTTAAAGTTCAGGTGGTGAAAATTTCAGAACTCTAACAAAACTCTAAAATTTCATTATAAATGGCAGTTCCTAATTGGTTCTATCATAAAAATTGCCAATAATGAAACAATAATTAAATTTTGAAAGTTTTGTTAGAGGACAACAGCTTTATAAACAAGCCCCTCCCTATGGATGTCCCAGTCCTCAAACACTCTCTGCTTCATTTGGAAAAATGCTGCACTCGCAGAGCTCAGGCGCTGTTGTATGTCAGTGTCAATGTTGACTTTTGTGGAGAGGTAGCTTCCAAGGGAACAGAAATGGCCAACATTTCTGTGCTTTGTTTGGAAAAATGCTGCACTCGCAGAGCTCAGGTGGTGTTGTATTTTAGGGTCAATGTTGACTTGTGGAGAGGTCATTTCCAAGGGAGCAGAAATGGTCAACATTTCTGTGCTTCATTTGGAAAAATTCTGCACTCGCGGAGCTCAGGCAATGTTGTATTTCAGTGTCAATGTTAACTTGTGGAGAGGTGGCTGCCAAGGGAATGGAAATGGTCAACATTTCTATGCTTCATTTGGAAAAATGCTGCACTCGCAGAGCTCAGGCAATGCTGTATTTCAGTGTCAATGTTGACTTTGGTGGAGAGGGGGCTGCCAAGGAAGTGGAAACGGTCCACATTTTCTAACGTTACACCATCAAGCTGTATTTCCTCGGTGTTAGAAAGCAACAGGAATGGCTGCTTCGGCACATCTGGAGGGTCACGTTTTCCGCCATCCCCGCTGCAGTTCCAGCAGGAAACGATCAGGGCCAAAAACAACTTGTTTTGCTTTTTCAAAGTAAAGGAAAGCTTGCAGATGCTCCTGGCTTTGAAGTCCAGGATCATTGCACTGGGCAGAGGGCCATAACGTCCGTTTTGTTTTGGATGGCCAGCTGACAGCCCCAGCCTGTGACCAGCGGGACATTAGCTAACTTGGACCTTCCCTCCAGGTGTTTTGGACTGCAACTCCCACCATTCCCAACAGCCTCGGACCCCTTCCTTTTCCCCCTCCACTTAAGCGGCTGAGGAAAAAAAGGAAGGGGTCCGAGGCTGTTGGGAATGGTGGGAGTTGCAGTCCAAAACACCTGGAGGGTCCAAGTTTGCACATGCCTGGTGTAACCTGTTAGTATCGCACTGACAGACCCTGTGGTTGCAGTGGGATTCAAAGCCTGCAAACTGCCAGGGCTTTCTTTCTTCCGGGCACGTTCCCTCGCCTTTCATCGTGGTGTCCTGAGCCTTGCTAATCAGTGCTGTGTGTACTTCTAATCCAACGACTTCTGGTTCTATTAAACGAATGTGTACATAAGAACAGCTGTCCTCTGTCACGAGAGTGGTTTCTGGAGTCTGTCCTTTTGTCTCGGTGCGTGTTTCCAAAATGAAGTCCAACGGGGACAAAGGCAAGATAGGAAAACACAGAATGCAACGAGACAGAATGGGGGGACGACAACGCCTTACTCGAGAGCAGGATTTGGGGGAAGGATCTTGGAGTCCTCATGGGGAGGAAGGGGAACACGAACACGGAAGTGGTCTGCAGACACTTCCGAAGGAACGTGGCCATCGCTAATCATATACACGGATCTATCAAAAACAAAATTCTAGAATCCTAGAGTTGGAAGAGACCTCATGGGCCATCATCCAGTCCAAGCCTCTTCTGCCAAGAAGCAGGAATATTGCATTCAAATCACCCCTGACAGATGGCCATCCAGCCTCTGTTTAAAAGTCTCCAAAGAGATGGAGGCTCCTTCTTTGGAAGCTTTTAAACAGAGGCTGGGTGGCCATCTGTCAGGGGTGATTTGAATGCAATATTCCTGCTTCTTGGCAGAATGGGGTTGGACTGGATGATGGCCCAGGAGGTCTCTTCCAACTCTTTGATTCTATGATTCTATGAAAGAAGGAGCCTCCACCACACTCCGGGGCAGAGAGTTCCACTGCTGAACAGCTCTCACAGTCAGGAAGTTCTTCCTCATGCTCAGGTGGAATCTCCTTTCTTGTAGATTGAAGCCATGGCTCCATTGCGTCCTAGTCTCCAGGGAAGCAGAAAGAAAGCCTGCTCCCTCCTCCCTATGACTTCCTCTCACATATCTATACATGACTATCATGTCTCCTCTCATCCTTCTCTTCTTCAGGCTAAACATGCCCAGCTCTTTAAGCCGCTCTTCATACAGCTTGTTCTCCAGACCCTTGATCATTTTAGTCGCTCTCTTTCTCTGGACAAATTCCAGCTTAGAGTCAACATCTCCCTTCAATTGTGGTGCCCAGAATTGGACACAATATTCCAGGTGTGGTCTAACCAAAGCGGAATAGAGCATGGGGAGCATGACTTCCCTAGATCTAGACACTATGCTCCTATTGATGCAGGCCAAAATCCCATTGGCTTTTTTGCCACCACATCACATTGTTGGCTCATGTTTAACTTGTCCATGCCAGACTCATCTGATCTCTTTTTTTCGATAGAGTTACAAGCTGGGTAGATGCAGGGCTATGTATAAATATGTGACCAGAGGAGGGAGACTAAAATGATCAAGGGTCTGGAGAACAAGCTCTATGAGTAGCGGCTTAAAGAGCTGGGCATGTTTAGCCTGAAGAAGAGAAGGCTGAGAGGAGATATGATAGCCATGTATAAATATGTGAGAGGAAGCCACAGGGAGGAGGGAGCAAGCTTGTTTTCTGCTTCCCTGGAGACTAGGACGCAATGGGACAATGGCTTCAAACTACAAGAGAGGAGATTCCATCTGAACATGAGGAAGAACTTCCTGACTGTGAGAGCCGTTCAGCAGTGGAACTCTCTGCCCCGGAGTGTGGTGGAGGCTCCTTCTTTGGAGGCTTTTAAACAGAGGCTGGATGGCCATCTGTTGGGAATGCTTTGAATGTGATTTTCCTGCTTCTTGGCAGAATGGAGTTGGACTGGATGGCCTATGAGATCTTTTTCAACTCTAGGATTCTATCTTACATAGAATAATCAAGTTGGAAGAGACCCCAGGGGCCATCTAGTCCATCCCCTGCCACGCAGGAAAAGCACCCCTGACAGATGTCCATCCAGCCTCTGCTTAAAAGTCTTGAAGGAAAGAGCTTTCACCGGACTCGGAAGGAGTGAGTTCCACTGCTGAACAGCTCTTACACTCAGAGAGTTCTTCCTACTGTTCAGTAAACATTCGATCCCAACCGAAGTGGGATGATGACATATCAATTAAACAATCCAAATATAAATACAATAAAATAGCTTAAAAGTAAATATTCAATCCCAACCGAAGTGGGCTGATGGAATAAGCAGCAGGCGAGGCAGGGGAACCCCGGAAATTAGTGTTCCAATGTCCAGAGGATGGGCGACATGGCCATTAAAGTGCCCGTTCCGCAAGATCGCACCATAGAGGCACCTTGTGCAGGTGTTTCAGTGGCAGGTAACTGTTGGGTGTTGTATTGTGGTGAGCCAGATCAATTGCACAAACTAAAATCACAACTGTTTTTAATACGAACTCTCAAGCAACCAGAGACTACATTTATCTAGAACAGTGGTTCTCAACCTTCCTAATGCTGCGACCCCTTAGTACAGTTCTTCATGTTGTGGTGACCCCCAACCATAAAATTATTTTTGTTGCTACTTCATAACTGTAATTTTGCTACTGTTATGAATCGTAATGTAAATATCTGATATGCAGGATGTATTTTCATTCACTTGACCAAATTTGGCACAAATACCCAATATGCCCAAATTTGAATACTGGTTGGGTTGGGGGGGATTGATTTTGTCATTTGGGAGTTGTAGTTGCTGGGATTTATAGTTCGCCTACAATCAGAGAGCATTCTGAACACCAACGAAAGAATGGAATCAGATGTGGCCACACAGAACTCCCATGACCAACAGAAAATGCTCAAATTTGAATACTTGTGGGGTTGAGGGCAAATTGATTTTGTCACCTGAGAGTTGCAGTTCCTGGGATTTATAGTTCACCTACAATCAAAGAGCATTCTGAACTCCACCAATGATGG